GATGACCAATGCCTCAACAGTGTTCATGGATTACATGAACAGAATCTTTCGGTCATTTTTGGATAAATTCGTGGTGGTATTTATTGATGACATCCTTATTTATTCCAAAAATCCAGAGGAACATAGAGAGCACTTGAGGTTGGTGTTGGAAATTTTGAAGGAGAAACAATTGTATGCCAAGTTATCAAAATAAGAATTCTGGTTGGAAGAAGTGAAGTTCTTGGGTCATGTTATTTCAGCAGAAGGGATTGCAGTTGATCTGGCTAAAGTGGAGTCGGTGTTACAGAGGGAACGCCCAAGGACTATCACAAATATTAGGAGCTTTATGGGCTACTATAGGAGATTCATTGAGGGATTCTCCAAGATAGTGATGTCGTTGACCTAGTTGACTAGGAAGGATCAGCCTTTCATATGGATAGAGTCCTGTGAGCAGAGTTTCAAGGAGTTGAAAAAGAGGTTGACTACTACTCCTGTATTGGTGTTGCCCGATTCTAGTGAGCCTTTTGAGGTATATTGTGATGCTTTTCACCAGGGATCGGGGTGTGTGTTGATGCAAAACAAGAGAGTAGTGGCATATGTTTTAAGGCAGTTGAAAAAAAATCATGAGAGGAATTATCCCACTCATGACTTGGAGTTAGTAGTTGTTATTTTTGCCTTGAAGGTATGAGAACATTATTTATATGGTGTTAGGTTCAGCGTCTTCAATAATCACAAGAGCTTAAAGTACTTGTTTGATCATAAGGAACTGAACATGAGACAGAGGCGATGGATGGAATTTCTAAGGATTATGATTTTCAATTGATGTAACACCCGGGGAAGGCCAATGTTGTGGCGGACACCTTGAGTAGGGAATCCATCCATGTCTCTATGTTGAGGGTGAAGGAGTTGGAGCTGGTGGATAAATTTAGAGGTTTGAATCTGTGTGTGGAGTTAGCTCGAGATCACATTAGATGTAGAATGACTACCATAGCTAGTGAGATCTTGAAGCAAGTTGGGTTGAAGCAGTTGCAAGACCCATAATTGATGAAGGTTCTTAGTTTGTTGGATATAGAGGAAGCATTTGGCTTTGAGATGGGTGAAGATGGGATTTGAGGTTTAAGGGCAGAATTTGCCTACCTTAAGATTCTGAGTGAAGGAGACAGTTTTAGAGGATGTCCTACTACTGGTGGAGTTCACATACAATAATAGCTTTCATGCTAGTATGAGGATTTGAAGCATTGCATGGTAGGAAATGTGGGAATCCTCTGTGTTGGTGTCAAAGATGGTGAGTCGGTGGTCACGAGGGCTAGAGTTAGTTTTACAAATTATTGAGGAGGTGAAATTGATTCAAGAGAGGATGAGGTTTGCCTATAGTAGGTAGAAATCATAAGTTGATAGAAGGCAGAGGCCTTTGGAGTTTTCTGAGATGGAACATGTGTTCATGTTTTCTAGTTGGAAAAGTAGGTTTATGATCCAAGTCATGTGGTAGAGATGGATGAGGTGCAAGTTAGAGAGAACTTGACCTATGAGAAGAGATCAGTAGCTGTAGTTGATCACAAGTTGAAGGAGCTCAGGGGAATATCCATCAACTTGGTGAAAGTTCATTGGGATACAGCTACTGGTGAGGCGACCTGGGAGGTGGAGAGTTAGTTCAAGGAACGATATCCATTTCTCTTTTCAGGTAAGCCTATTTTTAGGGACAAAAATTCCTGTTTGTTGGGAGGTATTGTAACATAGTTAATAGACTGGAACGAGGCGTTCCAAAATTGGAACGGGTCGTTCCAAACTACTAAAATAAGGGTGATTTAGAAGCCCAGAACGGGTCGTTCCAAACAGGGTCGTTGTGAGTTAAATGCAACCCCGAAACGAGCCGTTTTGGTTTGAGAACGGGTCGTTCTAGATGTAAATTTTTCACATGAAGTATGAGTCCAGAACGGGCCATTCTGGATTTCAAACGAGTTACCCCTGAAGATTACGAGTGTACCCTCAGGCAGGTACAACATGTAATCAATATGTGATTGATCCATACTATGTTGATTCTGTGTAACCATCCTATAATAACACATGGTGAAATAGGGAATGATTCCTAAGATAAGAATGAAACTAGCCCTTTCTGTCTGGTATTATTTTTAAGTCCTCTCTACCCAACTTATAGGTTATCCAATATGAGATATATATGCTTGTCATTGTTCTATGGAGACTTGGTATGAGAAAAACTTTCTAGTTAGTTAGTTTTCATGTGATCTAATTCGAGATGAACATATCGTGAGGAATATTAAAGGGACCAGTTGAGAAAGACGTAGGCACCATCATCAAGGAGATCTCATGTTTTAAATAAATATAGTACGTCGTATTGTATATATGATGAAACAATCTCGATAGATACCATTTTTATTATTGCACTTCACGAGTTGCTAAGACTGAAGCTGAACGCTATTTCGTCTCTACTCTCTTTTTATTGCTCATTTCAATGCTCAGTTGAATGAATGACATGAATAATGTTAAAATATGATGCATACTCATCTTCATTGTATCTAAGTTTATGTTTTAAAACGTTTATATGTCCAACATCATGTTAGCTAGCTTCTAAGTACAATGCGTTAAATAGTAGTAAATATTTCAGGTTTATCCATGGACACTAATAAAAGAAATTACTTTTCGTTTCATTAATTATTTCCTTATTAAAAATTATAGTATTATTAAAATTTTAATATTAAAAACTTTGCTTGAAAGTCCTATTAGTAACTACTAACACGACCCGATAACATTTTTTCTCTAAATTAGGACATAACTATTTTTGCTGTAGAAAAATGAGTAAGAAAAAATGATAGGGAATGTAGAACCGTGGGAGTCACTACTAATTAGTAATTAATTAATTATATAAAAACAATCGATTAAATTTAATATTAAGTTGTTTTTGTTTGTAAACAAGTGTTGATAATCGACTATTAGTTATGTATAATTCATAAATAATTTTTCAAATGTGCACGGGTGAATTTCTAAATAGGTCTACGAAGCAACGAAAAGATGTTTTTATTTCTTTGTTTAATAATCTTCTCATCCATTTTACTGTTCTCTTTTATTTCTTCGACATTTTGATGTACCAAACAGAGGCTAAAAGAAAATTTATCATCATGTATAAATTTTCTTTTATTTCACATCTACCATAATTTTCTACTTATCTTTTTACATGATTTACTATTTCTGTTACTTTCTCTTTTTACCTTTATTTTTTCTTTATCTCTCATATCGTCATCCCAATACATCCAAAATGGATGGATGAATTAGCCTATACTCTGAAAATCGATCGGACGAAAAACTTAAGTATAATTTTATAGATGAGATTGATGTTGTTTTTGATTAGGACAAGAGTTTCACTTGAATAACATATATTAATTAAATTAATTAGGTTTATATTAAATGAAATTATTAAAATAAATTTTTAATTTTTAAGTATAAACAAGAGGCATATAAAATGGGTGTGTGGTAAGTGGTAAGTGGTAAATGAAAAATGTGGGAAAGGGTAGAGTGGTAGTTTTGTTGGAGCGTATGATGTATATTGTATAGTGGAGTACTTGAGTTGTTTCAGCGAGGTATACGGGAGCAATAATTTGCGAGTACGGACTTGCAACGAGCACAGCACTCACCTTCTTCCATTACCAAACAAAATAAAACTCAATTCACGAGACTCCCTATTCCTTTCTGACACTCTTTACAAGC